TATGGTCATGAGTTGTTGATCCGACTCTAATTGAATCGGATCTGAATATGAACAAGAACCAAGGAATATCAGCTCGTGTAAACGCCAGTCAACTTGATCATAATTGTCTGGAGCTGGTGAGCTGATATATGAATGGGAATTGAAAGTTATATACCAGCTTCACTTCGTTCAACGTACGCAAAGCGAGTAAGTCACAAGTGATGACTGTGTATGTACGAACTCATCATTGCTCAAGGCGACCAGCCGATTTAGAAGTTCTTGAAGAGTATTCAAAAATTTATGGTCATGGATTGTTGATCCTACGCTAATTGAATAGGATCAGCATATGAGCAAAGACCGAGGAATATCAGCTCTAAGGGAACGCCAGACAACTTGATCATAATTGCCAGGAACTGTTGAGCTGGTAAAAGGAAAGGAAAGGGAAATTATATACCAGCTTCACTTCGTTCAACCTACACAAAGCGAGTGAAAATGGACATGGAAGGTTCCAACTTCCACAAACTCAAGGCAACAAGTTAAGAATTTGTAAACTAAAAGTTTGCCCTCACTTTTTTATGGCAATGAATGTAAGGATGCACTATGCACTCCAACAGGTCTGTGAATGGCGTAATCATAAGCGCTTATTCATTTTTCACCTGGAATTCTTTAAAAAATTTATGGTAATGATTTGATGACCCAATGCTATTATTATATTGGAGCAGAAAGATATACACCGCAGACTATAAGCTCTGGATATATCACGTTAACAACAACAGAGTTAACGGAGCATTAGGAGCTAGATATGTCGTATTGATTTCTATATTATATAGTGACTGTACCCATTCCACGTACTTCATCAGGGTATCCTGTTGTTCTTGAAGGCAAAAGTAGCGAAACTAAAAAATTTTACGGTTTTCTTGGGAAGTATCACCCTATACGAAGATAACACAGAAGGTGAAACCTATGGATATAAGCTCTACGAAACGTTATTCCACATAGAGCACAGATAACGAGTGTGCAGAGCTACTATAAACGAAACAATTCGTCCCTTATGTATGATCTCGCTGTTTCCACCGTACACAAAGTGAGTAACATAAGTGTTAGTAACCATTTGAACAATATTCAAAATGTGTAAAGTATTGAATATACGGTTAACTCTTTGCGACTTACTCACAGAAGAGTATGATCAAGACAGTCAACCAACCAATATCAGCCATTGGAAAGCCAGTTAATATGTTAACAATCAACTAGGGCAAATAGGCTCTGACGTCTTTTAAAACTTGCACGTTATATACAGTGCGATTATTTTCAACGTATTCCAAGCGGGTGCGGTTTTTACAAGACATTTCGCCATTAAGATGTTAATGATCAACAAAACTTAACTTGTTGAAAGGTTCATTATAATGATTAATCGTATTATTCGAGAACCACCGGTAAAACCCTGCTACGTTATACGCCCTATAGAAACGCCGCCTCATTCATTTAAAGATCGAAACGGAGCTGGTGGGCGACTCTAACGATGTTCTACAACAACGCTTTGTATAACCGCCGGGTTCCTTGTGGCGTATCTCATACGGGTGGTAGTTCTTTTGTTCGTCAATCACTACATAGGCAGCGAGACCAAAGAGTAAATAACAAAGGATCTGAGATGAGTTGAAAAAAATAAGAAAATTTTTTTTGAATCATTTCCAATGACTGAGGACAGTTCGTAACTTCGCTAAAGCTTTTTTAGTATCTTATAATGTTTTTTTTATTTTAATGTGACTACATTGATCATACTAACAGCAAAGTCATTATGGTATATATATTCAATATTGTACTTCAGGATCCTGAGGACAACAATTCCCGTTGCGTTTTACCATCTGAGTGTGAAAGAAGATGCGAAGACCCAATGAAGGTTAAAATTTTTCTCTTCAACAAAGATCATGCACTTATAGGAATTCATAACGTGTGGTTCATCGTGTCCGATGGCTTGTGATAACAGACATCCGAAAAGCTGCACTCCCTGCCAAACTGGTTGCTATTGCAAAAATGGTAATTTTTCTGTTTTGTTCTGATGTGTTGGCTTATTTTCCTATCTCTGTTACAGGTCTGGTCTTCAAAAATTCGTCTGATTGGCAGAATTCTTCTTGTGTTAGGATTGATGACTGTCCTAAACTCATCGAAGAGACCATTGAGGATTTGGCAGCCACTTCTACCTCTTCTTCAACGGAATCGTTGACCACTCGCAACTCAGAAACATCGGTGACAACGACAATTGAGAAATTCACAGAAACTACTCAAGAGGTTGGCATTTAGAGTTCGGGACTTAATGAACCTGGAAAGTTGTTCAGGTTACAACTTCTTTGACTGGTCTCATGATTGATAAAACACTGGCTATAGTGCCATCATTATCAGGTAAATTATGTTGACTTTTAACGAAAGAAATTAAATTTATAGCGAAAAAGGGTTTCTCCGACAACTGTCCGTCTACAACTCTCGATGTTGGTGGGAGAAGTTGCAATTCAGATAGAGATTGTCCGAAACAACAAGTATCTGAAATTCGCTATTAATCTAAACCACGAATTCTTTAGCACTGCTGTCAAGCTCTTATCGCTTCCTTAGGAGTGAACCCGCAACGATGTTCGTGTGGAGATCCTCTCGCTGTCTGGAGCACTTGTGGCAGCTTGTGTCCCGAATACTGTGGTCAACCATCGGTTCCTTGTGACCTATTCTATAATCGGTTAATCTTTTAAAACTTCAGGTCCCTGTATGTTCCTCAACTTGTAATCCTGGTTGTCAATGTGCTAATGGATACATTCGAGCACGGAATGATATAACAGCGCCATGTATTCCGAGAGAAGCTTGCGAAAGTGCCAAAGGTTCTCAGTTTTTATAGATAATTTATGGAATTAGAGAGGAACAAATTCAGATGCGTTTCAATTGAATGACACTCCTAGAGCTATTATCAAAGAAATTCCAACCATTCAAGCGACTCCTGAGGAAACAAGTAATAGACTAGTAAGCCTTGATGATAAGTTTAAAATGGTTTTCATATATTTATAAAAGGTCGCATCTGCTACGTTGGAAGGACAAATACTATCAGGTCGTTTAAACTTCAATAAATCTATCAATGGACAGCTGAGAATAGAAGGTTCTAAACACTGAAAGCCCAAATGTTTATCTCGGTAATAGGCAAACTTGATGGTCTGCCACCTGGACATCATGCTTTGATACTGCACAAGTTTGGTGATTCGACAAGAGATTGTTCTCGTATTGGACCTCCACATCTAATAACAACGCTGACAGAGTCTAATCCGGCAATAATTGACATAGATGGTAAAAGAACTCTCCTTTTTTCGGAAAAAATCTTTTGAAGCTTTAGGCTCCAACATAGGGCTATTAGAGTTTTCATCAACAGTGAATTGGCCTTTACAAGAGATTATTGGAAGATCTGTAGCAATATACGGGTATGTCCTGAGTTTTAATGATGGGAAAGATAATGGTTTTATGTAGAATGAGTAGAGATGAATGGTTGAACAAACCATTGGAAGAACGACCTCTAGCCTGTGCTACTGTTGGGCTGACCTATGCATAATACTCTCATTACCTAATATGTTATAGAACGATTTGTTAACTGAATTTGGTCTCAGAACTTCAAAATTGTTTTTTGATGTTGCTCATTCTCAATTTAAAATTTTTCAACTGAACTATTTGAATAACTTCGCTACTGAATATGTAGATACAGATTTACTCTTTTCAATATCCAATATCATCCCACCATTCCATTGTTATGCAACAGAAACATTTATTTCAATAAAGAAAAAATTGTATTATATTACTATACATAAAGGGAACACTTTTCCGAAACTGCCAGCATATCATCTTTTTTGTGAAGCCGTGATTGTACAGCTGTACTATTGGTCAAACAAATGCGAGCAAACCTTGACCAAAATATTTTAACAAGCAATCTTTTATTTGAACAAATTGATTATGGCACTAACTGAAACAGTTTGATACTATCAAGGACAGCTTATCGCTATATTCTTTTCTTTGCATAATGATAGAACCTAAGAGCAAACAGTAATAAAGAGGAAGGGCAGAATTGATAAGATTTATAGAACTTTACAATATAATACATCATTCGAAAAACATTCCAACTGTTTTCATCTAAATTCCGATTGAAAACTCCCCAAAACCATGTTAGAAAAAACTGCGAACAATTTCAGGGTCGCGGGGAAAGGACAACTTACTAAATTTGGGTCAACGGCAGAAAACAGCACAAGTTTTTGTCAGTCCCGTGTAAAAGCGTGCCTGACGTTCCAAAAACATAGTTTATAAAAGAATTTAGCAATATTTAAATTAAATGTGGCCAATGTTATAAACTTTTACTCATTTTTCCATATCCAATAGTGAGATACGCGAACACTTTGGTTGTTTGTTTATTCGGAAGGGCGATCTTCCCGTAAATATTAATAGAAATAACGGCTCTGTTCCGTTATACACCCCACATTTAGGCTCCGCCCACAAGACTGCGCCGCAAT